GGGCTGAAGGGTTCCAGAGCCTTCCAGGGGTTCCAGAGCCTTCCAGGGGTTCCAGAGCCCCTGCAGGGTTGCCTGGGAGAGGTGCTGCTCCTACCTGGGAGAGGTGCTGCTCCTACCTGGGAGAGGTGCTGCTCCGAGGCAAAGCCCAGCCCGTACACGGTGTTGGCTCGGCTGTCGGCCCATTGCCCGAATTTCTGGGAGGTCTTGGTGAAGGTCATGTTGGGGGTGATGGTGCTGTTGATGATTGCCTGGGGAGAGAGGCAGTGGCAAGTCAGGGAAGGCTCCAGGTGGGTGGCGCGGGGTTGGATGGCGGAATCGCGGGATCACGGAGCGGTTTGGGTCGGAAGGGACCTTAAAGATCATCCCATTCCAACCCCTCTCTCCACGCCACTCCCTGAGATCACCACGATCCCTGTGAACTCTGGGAATGAGGGGTAGAAACCTCTGCCTTTCCATCTGCAAAACAGCAGTTCAGGCTCAGGCTTTTGGTGACCAAAAGTCTTTCCAAGCCCGGCGACGATGTGGCACGAAGGAATCTTAATCATCTTTTCTACCGAGAAAAGGGATAAAAAAAAAAAAAAAAAAAGAGACAGCACGTCTCTGGGGCCTCAACAGCTTTCTGCTGTTCTCCATTTTCATGGCAAGTAAGGGGGGATGGAAGAAAAAAAGGCTCAACCACCACTCAGGACTGGGTATTACGAAACTCTCTCTCAGGACTGGGTGTTATGAAACCCTCTCTGCTGGGCAGGGGAGCAGCAAAAAAGCCTGAGAAGACTCTGTGCCATCCCAGGGCTTCGAGAAGGAGGCAGGAGGGTGCCCACCAGGAACAGTTTTAGGGAGAGTAACTCGTGTTTTGTGGAGGTGACTGAACCTCCGAGGCTTCTTCGACCCCTCTCTCTCTGTACGTACAGGGGGTGGGTTCAGCACAGGATAAAGGCTCTTGGAAAACACTTGGGGTTGGAATGGGGGGTGTGTGTGACAACACCAGACCCCAGGGTGTGACAACACCAGACCCCAGGGCACGTTTTCCACCAGCACAGATTCCGGTTCTGCCTCCAAACTGAGGAGGAAACGAGGCTTCACCTGGCCATGGGAAGGTGCCAAAGCGCCAACCCCAACCCCACCCCAACCCCACGGGCAGCAGGAGAGGTTCTGGGGGGGGGAGAGCCCTCCTTGGGGCTGCTGTGCCCCCACCTTGGTGCCCCCCACGCTGATGATCCGGTACACGTTGCGCGTGGCATCGTAGAAGTAGGAGACGGTCAGGGCGTGTTTGCTGGCCGGGATCCAGTTCCGTTTGGTGGCCGGGTCGATCTGGAAAACGTGGGCCCTGGTGCTGAAGATTGGCTGCTCCCTGCAAGACAGGAGGGCAGGGCTGGCTCGGGGCAGGGGGAAGCTCAGAGAGGGGGGAAGTGCAGCCGTTTCCTTCTCTTCCCCTTCCCCGTGTCCTGGGTACAACTCCTGCTCTTCTTCATGTTCCTGGGCACAGCTCCTGCTCTTCCTCGTGTTCCTGGGCACAGCTCCTGCTGTTCCCCTTCCCTGTGTTCCTGGGCACAACTCCTGCCCTTCCCCTTCTCCGTGTTCCTGGGCACAACTCCTGCCCTTCCCCTTCCCCGTGTCCTGGGCACAACTCCTGCTCTTCTTCATGTTCCTGGGCACAGCTCCTGCTGTCCCCCTTCCCTGTGTTCCTGGGCACAACTCCTGCCCTTCCCCTTCTCCGTGTTCCTGGGCACAACTCCTGCCCTTCCCCTTCTCCGTGTTCCTGGGCACAACTCCTGCCCTTCCCCTTCCCTGTGTTCCTGGGCACAACTCCTGCTCTTCCCCTTCCCCATGTCCTGGGCACAACTCCTGCTCTTCCCCTTCCCCATATTCCTGGGCACAACTCCTGCTCTTCCTCGTGTTCCTGGGCACAGCTCCTGCTCTTCCCCTTCCCTGTGTTCCTGGGCACAACTCCTGCTGTTCCCTGTGTCCTGGGCACAACTCCTGCCCTTCCCCTTCTCCCTGTTCCTGGGCACAGCTCCTGCTGTTCCCCTTCCCCATGTCCTGGGCACAACTCCTGCTGTTCCCCTTCCCCATGTCCTGGGCACAACTCCTGCTGTTCCCCTTCCCCATGTCCTGGGCACAACTCCTGCTCTTCCCCATGTCCTG